CCCTCAAACAAACAGGAGGTCCTCTATAATAAACTATCACCAAAACAAATCTGGATTCCTGTGAGAATTCCTTTTTGTAATTGATTGTAGTATTAATGTTCCTTTCATAGATTGTATTCAGCTTCCATGGCTTCCTAAGTAAAGGAAGATTCCATGAGCAGTTTTTTTCCAGTGGAAAAAACTTTTCACAATTGAGGACCCCAAAACAATTTTTTTATTGAGAATCAGGTGCCTTCCTGGTCTACTACCTTGAAAATTTGTTTAGGAGCAATGTTTTATAAAGGGTTTAATTGGGGAATTGGTGGTTTTGGTCAGCTGTCAGTTTTGAAGAAACCTAGAGAAAGCTATATCAGCTAATGAATCATAATCATTGGCCTCAGAAGGGATTCAAACCCATATTAATTGGGGCTCCAATTTAAAAATCTAGGGCCCAAAAAAAGCTAGCATTATAGAGGTATCATTGTTCAAACAGGGGGGTCTGAATAAATTTGGAAAAATTAGCATTATAGAGGACCTATTTACTAATCAGGCTCCAAAACATTAATCTTAATTGGGGGGTTGGCCAGGCATTAACTAATGAAATATGGCTTTGATGCGCATGGACGGATGATAGCTGCATCATCGGATTTGGTGGTGAATCGCTTGCCATTGGTCCGCACACCAGCATCAGCATCAGGCATGTTCAATCAACATCACAAATATAACTTGTTAGCGCCTTGAATCTCGGGTGATTTAGGGGACACAATAAAGAATAAGCCATGGTTACGTGACTTTTGACCGCCAAACTGGGACCGGGACACGCTGGCGCATGAGCAGTGGCATGAGCATGCGTGAACCTTTTTACTGTACAGCAATTGAACCTATAGGACGAAAATACAATTCCAGTCGCTGTGTACAGACGCAGCTAATGCCCTTGCAACAGCAATAGTATCACCTTCCCCAGGGATGAAAAAGACCTCAAGCGATTACAAAGTGATGTTCCCGAATCACGCATGATTGGTATTGATTTAAGCTACATTCATGATTCATAATGCAAATCCACAAATGTCAGTCAACTGCTGTTGTTGATTTTGTTGCTTTGGGCTTTTCAGGTCGAGCACTGCATTGAACACTGTGGGTCCTTGCACTCCTACGCTGAGCACTGCGCGAAGCTCAGGCAGAGCTGGGTCCGACTTTTGCAAGGCATCACACGGTGCGTTTGCCCCTTTGTCGTTTGTATGTGTTTATATTTCATTTATTTCAGAGTCTATGTTTGCATTGAAACAATATATATATATTTATTATTTATATACATACATACCTATATATACATATATAATATTTTATTGTTTCAATGCAAAAGGAGTAGTTGCCACAGTCGTCAGCATACTGACTTACATGCCCTAGTTCCTGTGGAAATTGTTGGTCTAAAGGTTCCACATTCCATTGTTCAACTAGATTGGCTAATAGGCATGGGTGTTTGCATCGGGTGTTTGTGGGTAAGGTGAGCGGTTTCCAACTTTCAATATCCTTCCGGAATTTGACTCAGGCAGAAGAAAACACATCATTACATGGAATGTGCCACGGCATAAATTGAGTGCATGGTATGATACTGATTGGAGTGGTGTATGCGCAGGTTGGATTTGTTCAATCTTATGCGACTCTATGGCAGGATATGGCAGGTCTTTCCAAGCGTGTCAACTCCCAGAGTCGCAGGCAAGACTCAAAGCGGCTGCCGCATGCATGTTCTCCCAGGAACCTCTTCATGTCTTTGCGCACCTCGAAGTGAACGACCGCCAGGGCCTTCGAAGCGAACGCCGTGAACGGGCAGTCCGACTCGCCGATCAGGCGAGCTGAGGCGGGACGGGGGTTGGAGCGACGCGCAGCGGCGGGCGCCTCAGAGAAACGCCGCCCTTCGCAGGGAACGGGCGCGAAGCCGAAAAAGCCGCCCAACCCCGCTCGCGACGTGGAACCAACCCCGTTCGCCCTGCAAGGCCCAGCACAAGGCCCAGCCAGCGGCGCTGCAGGATGAGTCAGATGAACGGACTGCCACTGGGCAGAGGATGTGAGAGGACTGTCCTTCAAAGAGTTGAAGAAGTGGCTAAGTGGCTCTCTGGCTTTCAATTGGCCCATGAAGTGGTGATCAGATGGATGTTGACTTTGAGGCTAGGCAGTTTGGCTCCAAACAACCTGATCAGATCAAAGCAAAATGACCAAGCATACCGGTCATTTTTCCATACATTGTCCCACTGCCGCACATATTTATACATATATATATATATTAATATATATATATATATTTATATTGTTGTGAGCAATGCCGGAAGATCGTTTTCTCACCCCTTCAGCCGGTTGCCCCAAAACCATGTGAAGCTCCCGTCGCACTTGGGTTTTGTTGTTGCTCCCTTTGCCCATTCATATCCCATATGGCCCTCCTCCTTTGACCTCGCACCTGACCAAGGTCATGAAGAAGATGATGTCCCCTGGCGGCCTGGGACCTCGCCGCGCTGAAATCTAATCACACCACGTCGTGTTGCTGTGATGGTTCAGAGGCGAACAGCGGGAAGAATTTGGGCAAGAAACGTATCACATGGAACATTTTATGACAAAGAAATGACTAACAAAATATGCAGTTAACAAGGATTTCAACGTCTTTTTGTGCTTGATTTGGGCTTGGGCACCTATCAAGGGGTCACATGCAATGTTGCGGGTGTTCACTTGAAGGAAGGAGCTCCATAGGGTGAACACCGAAGCTCAGCACCGATGGACGAAACGAGTTCTGCCTGCAGACACGTCCAATTTCTCGTGTCAAGGGTCCGCTGGTATACAATGGAGTAGGCCCTAGAAGTCCAGTGCCAAATTGGTCCAGTGTTTTGACCGGTTCTTCAATTGTTAAGTTCGTGTTTGAACCATTGGAACGTTCGTGTTAGATGGAGGTTCTTCATTGCCTCGTAGGGTGATGTCCTAGGACGGACTCGGGGACTCGGACCGGTTTGCTCAATGGAGAGTAGTGGGTGAATAGTGGTGATCTCTTTCCTAACAGATGTGTAAGGCAAACCTGACCGGCCAAAGCTGTTGTGATCAATGACTGTGCGAGGGTTTAATATGATTGGCCTCACGACCTTGGCAGGTTGCCGTTGATGACGATTGATGAGAAGAAGGCTGCCAAACGGCACCTGTCGCATGAAGACCGTGCGGTACGGTGCGCTTGTATATAGGACTGGGTTTGCATGATTGACCATGATTAATTTAGTAGGATGTCCGGTCCATGTCCATGGCGCTTTGGTGTGCCGGAAGCCAACGGTTTGCTATCAAAAGGTCAATTCTGCAGACTATCCAGCTTGGTGCTCTCGTGAAGCTATGTTGTCAGAGAGAAAGCAAATCGGACAGTCGATTTGGAGAAATGGTTGTGGGTCAAATTTACACCACCCAAAAAGTAGGTTGATAACCCTGCGCCGGTATGATGGTGACCGAGGTGCCCTACAACCCCACAAGCGCCTCTTGGCAGTGCATGATTGGCTGTGGCTATGGGGGTACTTCTGATGAACCTGAAGTCCAAGGTGGAAAACATGAAAACAAGCACCAACATGTTTCAGGGTCTCAGCAAAGGGGATGGCCCTCCCTTTTTTTCAGCTACCCCAAAGAGATTGCAAGCAGTGGGTTGACGAGTTGAGGAAAACAGCTCGTTGATTGCACCCCGCGACCTGCTGAGCAGGTCCATTTACAGTGGTTTCAGAGGTTCGATGGCACTGGCACCCCTACATGTCATTTAGATGGGTATCAACCACCAACCACCACCTTGGGGGCCCAGACGTACCATCGAACCTCTGAACCCAATCCAACACGTGACAGACTTCCAACACGGACGCCACGTGGTGGAGCCACGAGCAAAGTTGGTCCACTTCAACCAGCTAAAGTAACGATATATGTCACATGTCACATATGTCCTTCAACTTTCAGACACAAATCCCGGGAGGTTGGAGGCTGATGGACCCCGATGCTGGTCAGGGTTCTTTGTGTCTGAACTGATTCGAGCTGACGCGCTGCTGCTGCTACAACTGTTGGACTTTGGATGGTTTTGCCGGAACTGCTGGCGTTCTCCTGACATGCGTGGGCCAGAAACACCTGGTGTGTGAAAGAATGCCTTGCGTATGCTTGCAACGTGGTGAAAATCATCCAGCATCCCTCGAGCCGGGCCCGGGGGGTGGCCATCCGGACGGTCCGTGTTGTGCTGAACGCTCGCTGCGCTCGAGGCGGGCGAGGAAGCAGGCTTTCAGGTGCACGGAAGCTTGGAAGAAAAAGGGCCTTAAAGCATGGTCACGTATTGACTAGTAGCCCTTGCTACCGCTCTCAAGAGAACTTGAGGAGCACTTGGGGGGAACCTAGGAAACCTGTGGATATCCACACAAGGGTATGATCGTTGTATGGTCACATAATGTAGACTCTTGAGAACCATACACCCCCCCCATATGAAGAGGATGTCCAATTCCAATGGGTGGGGTTTATTAATCTGTCTACATGATTGTTGGACTAGGTTATGACTAGATGCAAAGACATGCAAAGTCAGATAAGTTGCCTTGAAATGAAATGGCTGAAGTGACCGGCGCAGTTTGGGTCATGGGACCCATGGGATGTCTTGCCTGAGGCCGACGCCCACACAGCTGAGAGACTTTCGATCTTTGTTCGGAAACCAAGGATGAGAAACCGAGAAGAAACGAGAAGAGATTTGGAGTGGATTTGGTGGAGAAGAAACGCGCAGCTTTTCGATCTGCAGGGCTTTGACATGCGTCCGTTGGTGACGTTTCAGGCGTGCGACTCCGGTTGCGCCCTCTCCGGTCCGCCCCTCCAGTTCTGTACCCACCGGGTGTTCATGCGATTCCATGGCTTAGTCTTAGTGTGTATGTTTTAAACTGTTTAACACCTCTCAAGGGACATCAAGGGACCAAAACATGAGTGCTGAAAAAGAGTTGCTCCAACCCTGGAGTGATTATTTTGGTGCTCCAAATAGTTCAAAATTGCAAACAAAACACACATACGTTTGAGCACCCCCACGCCCAGCCATTGTCCCAAACATATGAATGTACATGTTGTATACTGACCTTCATGATCGATTGCGCCCGAATTCTGCGGGTAGGGTCCGGTCCTTCGGATGCCACACCCAGGTTGCGCTCCTTGGGCTTCCGTGCCACTGTGAGGCGCACGGCCAGCCGTGAAGATCCAAGAAAACATGAAGCCATCCGCAACAAACCTTGCAAACCAGCCCTTTCTTTGCTTCATCAGATGTTCATGAATGAGGTGACACCGGCAGTTGTATGCAATTGTGACTTGTCGGATCTGGTGTTGATGTGCTTGAAGGACCATGGGATCGACGTCACCATGCTTCAAGTGTTTGAAGCACCTTCGGTTGAACATCACCACTGGTGGAACTGCTTGACTTTCTCATCGTCCGCCTGCGACACGCTCGGGCGCCGCGGGGGGTCGGACCATGCGCCAGGTGGAGCACGACGGAAGGCGAACGCAGAGCGTCGAGTCATTGCAGCGTGTACGCGCACAGTGCAGGAAGTGGCCTGAACGTGCAGGACACCGAGTCATTCAGGTTGATGATGTTGATGTTCTCAACGTGTTTTTTTCTTTTGGGGAACGGTTGTATCACTGGCGCACAGTGCAGGGACACGACGTGGCCTGAATCGCTGTTCGCTCGGCCGGTTGTCATGAACGGGTTGGGAACTGTGCGGTGGCCGTGTTTTTGGAACGGGGTTCCATGGTTTCGAAGCATGTTGAGAATTGTATCCCAAACTTCAAGTGATTTGACTCGGCGTGATTTGCTTATAGACTTCGAAGATCCGGGCAAGTGATGGTGATGGTTGTTGCTGCATGTTCATGTTGAAACTGCAGGCTGTTTGCCACCCAGCAACCAGTTGCCAAAGTGCGCAAGGTAGACCTGCAAAAGCTTTGTGGGAGTAGCTGAGCCTGACAAGGACCCCCATTTCAGACCAAGGGTCTTGGGCAGTTTGGGAACTAGACGTCAACATTACGCTTTATGATTGGAACAATGTGTGCTACACCCTTCTGCCACTGCACTCCAGTTAGCCCAAGGGTTTATATATAGTTATAGTTATATATATAGGGGGTGTGAGATGGAGGACGCAGAAGTTCCAGAACCTCCTTGCTGGAAGATGGAAAAGCAATCAGAATTCCGTGAAATTGAGTGTCGTGGACCCCCCAAACAACGCTAGGCCGTGTCATGGGCGCTGCCTGTGGCCAACTCGCGGCACGTGGGCAGATGCCGGAGGCGCGAGGCCACGGCTAGGGGCGCTGGGCTTGGTTAGGCCTCCTTGCGCCATCCTCACAGACCAAACACGGAAAAACATCTCCAGAATGGGGTGGATCCACTGGGTTGGATGATTCATATCACCTAACCTGCAAGCCCTAGAGCCCAGATCCACCAGGTTGGATGTGATCGGCTGTCTTCGCACCCTCTTCCCTCCCCCCCGCAGGCGGAGCACACGGTGGAGACCACGAACCGAGCGCCCGGACGAACCGCTGCCCAGCTGTCACGGCCTCGGCCGCAGACCGAGGCCGCGCAGGTCCCAAGTGGTTTTTGGTTCGCTCAGACCAGCTCCTTGCTACTAGTATATAGCTAGCTTCTTGTTACTAACTAGTAATTAAGGGCCTGCAACCTACTTGCGATGGCCTGCACCTAATAATTACGGTCCTTGCTATCTCCAAGAGTAATAGTAAGATTCCTGAGAGTTCTTCGAGCCGGTGGGATGGGCAAAGTTGTGACAAGTTGTGATGATTAAAAGCTTTGCCATGGGCCAAGGTGCATAATAAAATATGCACGCAACATGAATCTACAATATAGGAAGCACACTGAGCACGGCAGGATAGCACTCTGCAACCGGGCAAGTTCAAGTTCAAAGCACGATTTGGTTCCAGGCCGCCATGGGCGACTGTTGTTAAACCTAGAACTTCCTAGAACCCAAAGCTTGATGTGCCCCAAAAAGGCCTACAGAACCGCACGGACGTCTGGACGTCTCGACCGCACCTTCTGAAGATGCACGCAGCTGAACTGCCACCTCAATAGGGCACCCATCAGAAGTCCGTTGGGCGTTCTGTGTTTCTGTTTTCGTATGGGCTACTCCAGTGCCCGAGGACTTGGACGATCCACCGGGCCACCGCGGAGGAACGCCCGTGGTGACCGGAGCCACCGTGGAACATTCGGGTGGTTAGGCACCAGGGCATGGCCGGCCTTGGCTTTATAGACTGAATGATGTTTCCAAGGGTGGGCAGTTAAACACCAAGGACATCCAAGGACAACACCTGTTTTAATCCAGTGTTTTTTCCGCAGGAGGATCTGAAGTTGGATTTGATCTTCTAATTCGAGGGTCTAGACTAGACCAAGCTTGAATGCTCTTTCCCTAGAAATTCAAGCCTGGAAAGAGTGTTCGTTCTGGTCATTCCAATACGACTCAAGCCTTTGCACCATTTTGCACCCATCAATGACTCATGGCATTCAAACCGCCTGGAGACCTTTTGCCGGGCCCTAAGACCTGAGTATCCCTGCGCAGCCACCGGCCACCGGCTCGCAGGAGTTGCTGGTGCTCTTGCAGGAGCATGAGTCCGGGGGCTGAGCCCGGAGGAGCAGGAGTGTCCCAGTCAGTGGGAAAACCTGAGGAGGATTTGCACAGGAACATGTCTTTTCTATGACGATTCGTTGAACAACCAATGTTTGGGCATGTTTTGCCTGCAGGATCGTTCCTCATTAATGGTTACAACTACATTCGGTCTATTTTTGCTGTTCATGGATGTTTGGGGTTCTAGAACAATGGACTTTTCAGTTGAAGCGACTTTGGTAGCGGCCATTGCATTGTTGCCAGCGGTGATGAAGCTCAAGTGGGTAACTTTCTAAGTCGCAGTCGCATCAGGTGTTGCTGTGCCATCCTGTGAATTGTGGTCATTTGGTTGCACTGTGAAGTTGTCGTTCCAGATCCCTTTCATGGTTTGAGCCGTGAATGATGAGCTTGGTGTGCAAAACTTTGGTCCTGGCTTCTAAGAACCTCAGGAGCCCTCGCAAACGAAGACGGAACAAGTACCAGGACCTTCAAAGTGACCTCTTTGGAGTCTACAAGTGACCTTGTACAGACCTAAGTGACCTCATCCTGGGATATCAAAGGGTCACTTTGAAGGTCCTGGTAGATCACATCCTCCCAGAACATCCCAGAACTTGGTGGTCGAATTGATTTG